TTCTCACACACGTGTTCCTGGGACAGAGAGCAGACCAGACACCCCTGTCTTGTGAACTTCTGCCCCCTCTGCTTCCACAGGGTGTGTATGACACTATAACGCCTGCTGCTCTAGTCTGCAGTTCACGTCAGAACGCAGTGTAGCTGAGCCACTGCAGCCCTCAGTGTGCTGAATTCCTGTGATGGTTGTCCGTCGTGTCTGATGATGACGGTTGTGCTTTGTGCAGCTCATCTGTTTGGTAGACGAGCCGCACGAAGAAACCCGTGCGGGAGAGCTTTTTGAAGGGGGAAAGCCATGGCACTGGGGCTGTCCCACTCTCTCGGCCTCAGAAGCCTGGGTCCAGCGGTACGAGTTGTCGTCACGACTGGAGCCTTCCCTGGTTGCGGTGGACGGCCATGACGCCTTTCTGTGGCTCGCCACGCCCTTTGCTTTCCACGGAGCGCTCCTTGTGCCCAACCTCCAACATGGAGGACCTGGCGCCCGATGTGGGACACGAACCCACTACCCTGAGATTATGCATCTCAAGCTCTACCACCAGAGCTAGTCAGGGGCGTTTGTGCTGAATTAGTGTAGTCCACGCTACACTGTGCTCTCCATTGTGACGTCCTATGGAACACACTTTTTCTCTGCAGTAGTACACAAGGAGCACTATCAGAAGCTCTTATAAAGGGATTGACTGCAGGTTTAGAACCCCCCCCCACCCCATCCGATTGGGCAGCTGTCTCTGTGTTCAGTATAGAAGGCAGCTGCACTGAGTCTGATCTTAAATCTAGAAGACATTTTGTGTCTTTGTGTCTCTTAAAATCTGGAATCACCAATCCTCCTTCGTTTATTTACCAAGCTAACCCAGCCCCAGATCATTAACCAGCTCGGATTTCCCGCTGCAGTCCTGATCCCAGGTCGCGGACAACGTGTGCTATCCTCCAAAACGTGCGCCCTCGGAGCCACGGACCACTTTCCACACTGTGAAGCCCCACGGCGCACACAGGAGAGCTGCCAAGGGTTACTGGGAGCTCTCGCTGCAAAACACAGCAAAAGCACATGTGCCCGGCTAGTCACAGGGGGGCGCTGTTGCGCGACACGCAGAACAGAACTTCATAAAAAGTGCTCTGCCCAGCTATGCAAATTCCTTTTGGATTGTGTCCTTCCTGGTCCGAATTACAGGTGCTGGTCACTGGTCCTGGAATAGCCCAGGATCAGCCAGGCAAGTGAGTCACTTGAGACTTGAGAGGGCCCAAGAGTACGTCTCATCTCTTCTCCAGCATCTGTTGTTACAAGTTGCTGAAGGTAACAGGGCGCAGACTCTGTCCACCCAACTGCTGTCTTATTCTTGTAGGGACCAGTAGGGAGCGCTTACCCTGCAGTCTGTGTGGGTCCTAATTCCTCAGTACAGTGATGCATTATGATGATGGAGGGTCCAGACAAAACGCTACATAAGTATAAGGAATAATTAATTATTATTCTCTCCAACAGATTTTATGATTCAGATTTTAAGAATTCATTAATTTTCCATTCTTCTTCTTAGTTGGAGGAGGCAGCCAGTTAATTGTGATCCACAAGAAAGAAAGGGCTCTGAAAAGTAATGAGGCTTTCTGATACTCGCATTAGTCAGGCTTGTCTGAGTGGATTTTAAGGTAACGCAAGACCAAAAAACAAAACAGGGAAGCTTGTCTGAAAACCCTATGGATTTGACAGCTGAAGAATTGCGGCTCCGTTCGACTGCAGCAGACGTGTGCACACGAAATGCAGCGTTTATATGTTTCTAACCTTGTTTCTGTTGGGAGAATGTCCATTCATGTCACTCATTCCCTGCTGAATGGAGATGAAATAGCACTTTCAGTTAAATGTGTTTGTCAGGACAGCGTGACAACCATTTATTTTTGGGATAGTGTTAAAGTTACATGACTGACATAAGAAAGGACACAAATGATAGGTGACAGTTTGTCCCGTCTAGCTCATTTGGTTGTTAGTAGTCAATTTCTTGAAAAAAAAAAACAGCGTATTAGCTTTGGCAGGACAACTGGATAGCTTGTTCCATTCTTTCACGGCTCTAACTCAAGATGTACTTCATAGTTCTGTACTTGAAGGAAATAAATCTGATAGTGAACTTTGTTGAATTATTCAGGCTTAAATGAAATCTTTTGTCTGCTAAACAGGTGGGGTTCTTTGACTTTTTTACATTTGACGGATGTACAATAGGGCTTGCTATTGGATTTTACAGATGGAAAGGATTACAGTGGTGAGCTGTTTTTGGTTAAGAAGCAGTCAAACTAAAACAATGTGTTGGAGGGCTTAAAAAGATAGTTGACCAGGATTCCCAAGACACTGATGTGCAATTGACAGAACGTAGAGGGAAACAGCAACTCTAATGACTTCCCAGAAGCCTGTAGATGTGCAGTTGACATCAGTGCAGAATGAGCCACTCCACCAATTGCCCATAACTCTCCTGCAGGGCATGTTGGAGCTGGGAGTGTGTCTAAAAATGGACGGTTCAACATGCAGCCGGGTTGAAGAAAGTTGTCTGCCCTTCTTAATTCTTTCCTGTGCAGTATAGGAGTCATTGCCGTGAGCCCAGATGTACGCCATTCCATGGGTGGGTATCAAAGAAAAACTAAAAAAAATAACGAGGGCAATAATCTGGTGGCAAAACTGGAAAATCTGGGATGAGGTGTTTACTTCCCTCTTAAATAAAAAAGAACTGAAAGAAAAGCACAATAAAAATTATTGCTTTCAAAGCGACGAAGGCTTAATGAAACTGGAAGTAGGACAAAGGAAAAAATGAGACGGGGCTGTCAGGCAGCATGTACCAGAGAGCCCCGCAGTTTGGCACACATTGCGAAATTTACAGAAATTAGTTGGCTTTTTTTCACCCACAAAATAGAGCAGGCAGCTGCTCCTCTCTCACTCCTTCATCCAGAACCTCCTTTTAAGTGGAGCCTTTTTAAAACTGCGTAGCAATTGCCCAGGTTTATATCCCTCTTCTCTGAGTCTGCTTCATCTGTATCTAGAAGACATCTGATACCAGAATCCACTTCAGGCCTGTCCACCATCCTGGGCTCAGCCTGAGTCATTCGGTAAAGCATGCCGGAAATTAAAGGCATTCTGCTTTATACCCATGCTAAGAACTGCTTCTCTTGTGCTTATTTTAAAGCTCATAATCTTGTGAGGTATCCTTTGATATCTGGCATTTAGAGGTATACATGTACAATATATGTATTTATAATGCTGTTAGAATGCTTGATTATTATGTTTTAGCTTTTCAGTTATCCGCCTTTGAGTCACAGAATAGATGTTTATTTTTAAGTGTTGTCTTGATTTTTGAGCTAAAACTTGACTGGTGTCCAGGCATCCCTGTTTCGCAAAACAAAGGAACATTTTTCTAAAAGAAGATGTCGGTGTGTGTTTCGCTGTGTAATGCGATTAAGCCATCTGTTCAGGGTGTCATGTCTTCTCATTGATAGGCGCTTACAAAGAAACCGTGGGAGAAGGAACTATGACTTGTCAACCCCTCGGATTTTGAAAGCAAGCTTATCTTTAGTCATTACGGTGAAAACGACAACAAAAAATCTTTGCAAATTCTTTGCATCCTGGTCGTTGTAATCTAAGCCGTTACAGGATGAGCAAGTGTTGTCTGATCACAATTACAGCACGTCTCAGAATAGAAGACACAACTGGTGTGTGTGTTTTTCTTTCTAACAATGTGTTAACGCTCAGCAAATTCTGCACTCTGCCTCTTTTCCATCAAGGTAAGGACCGATTTTTTTCTCCAGTGCGATCGTGTGCGCGAAACGCATTTTGGAATTATTCTGGCTGTCATTTCTGATTAAACGACAAAGGCTTCCCAACAGCAGCCGGCTCAGATAGTGGGAAGGGAGGAGCTTCGTTGATCTCGGCACGGAGAGACTGACTACGGCTCATGCAGGAAATGCGATTTCGTCTTCTGCATTTGAAACCTCATTAGCTGTACGAGCTGCAGAGCTATTTTTGACATTTTGGGAGGGGGTTGTTATAATGAGCATGCTGGTTATGTGAGAAATGTTGTTTGCTTTCAGGCACAGAGAAATTAGGGAAATAAACATAAACAGTGAGTAAAAAAAAGGATAGCAAGACAAAGAGGGAGGCCACTGTTTTCAGGTGTCTGGAAGACCTTTTTAATGCAATCCTGTATCACTGCTCATATGTGTTTGTTTTCACTATAGCTAGTGGTGGCTTGAAGTGTGCAGCATGCTAATTATCATCTCTTTTAAACATGTTCCTACATGTCAGATGTCATTTACAATGAGGAGCCTGTTTAACCCTTTGTCTGTCTGCTCTGCTGGGTGTTTGAGAGAAGTTCACCAAAGAGTATCATTGTTGCATTTTGGGCAAAATTGGAACTCCTCATTATTTTCTCAGCTCTTGCTCAAAAAAGTGTCAGGGGTCTTCTGCCGCTGTTGCTATAGGAGTCTCCAGCTCAAGTTCTCTTTTCCACAAGTTGCTGTTGCATGTGGTGTAGTTTGGAGACCAGTAGGTGGCGCCCTTCCCTCCGTACCAGAATTTCCTAACCTAGGGCAATGACAGGAGACGCTGTCGGACTGTAGGAGGTGCCGTCCTTGATGTGATAAGCTAAACTGAAGTCCTGACTACTTGCTCATTAAAGATCCCACGGCACTGTTTATGTAACAGTAGGGGTGTTATCGCCAATGTCCTGTTTAAATTCCAATCTGCCCCTTGCCCTCAAACTGCCCCTTTTGCTCAACTGGTGACACAGTTTCATTGATCTCTGCCTGATCTGCAGTGGAGGTGCTGGTGCAGAATGTCAGCTTTGTGTCACCCAGGTGGGTGCTGCTCTTTAGTGGTGAATGAACTGACCTCCTTCCTGCATGTAAAGCTTTGAGACCAAGGGGTCATTTTTGGAATTCATTTTTTAACAGGGTAAAATCACGCTAATGGGAAAGGTGGGGGAAAAAAAGCATTGCGCCAAGAGTTGATGGATGCTCTTGCCTTATTCGTCCCAACAGTGCGAAGATGAGCCTGTCTCCAGGAGGAGGGGGGTGCGGCGGGGGGTCTCCGACGGGCAAGGTGGGGTGCTGCGGAGTGCCCATCGAGGACATGCAGGCCCTCGCCATCACCTCGCTGCCGGCCGCCGACATCCACAAGCACTACGAGCACATCCGTGAGCTGGGCAAGGGCACGTATGGAAAGGTGGACCTGGTGGCACACCGCACGCAAGGTGAGCCCCTCCAGTCGTTCACGGGGGTCATGCAGGGGGGTCGGCTCTGGAAGAAGAGCAGGAGAACAGTTACCAAACGAGAGGAGGTCATTCTGGCCCGACTGGTAGTTAGTAGCTCAGTGATAATTTCACTAATTTAGCCAGCAGCTCTATCACCCTGCAGCTCACAACTGCTAACCCCCTGAACCCTGAAGCTCAGCAGGTGTGAGCCTGGTCAGTACCTGGATGGGAGACCTCCTGGGAAAAACTAAGGTTGCTGCTGGAAGAGGTGTTAGTGGGGC